CGCTGTGCCCTAGCAGGAGGGTGAGGTGCGTTTGTGTGGCGAGGAGCTGCCGGGCCTCGGGGCCCGCGCGTGCTGCCCCGCTCTCCCGGGGCCGGGGTTATCCCGGCCCTGTCCTGGGAGAGGGCGGGCGCGGTGCCGTGTTGGGCAGCTTAGGGAAGGGAATGGGCCAGTAGGGCTTATTGACGGGAGTTGCAGGTGTGTTGAATAGCTGGCTTCAACGAAACCGGTGAACACGAGGTGACGGGGCACCTCAGAGTGCCAGCGGATCAGCCATGGCAGCCTCTGCTTGGGCGCTGAGTTTGGCAAAGGCTTAGATGTGGTGACCTGAGCAAGGAAGTGGTGCCATGAATAGTGCCCAAAGGATTTTCAATATTGTTTTCCTCGTAGATGATATTGTTTATTCTCCATGCCACAAGAGACAGCACAGTTTGTAACTGGTGAGGAAGTACAAATGTGGACTGGTTGTCATCATGCCTGTAGGCAATACCGGTAGCAACTGAGCCAGTGCCTGCCTTTCTTTACTGGGGTGCCTCTCTACCATGCCCCTGATCCTCATGGAGCTTCGATCATCCTTGTCATCTTTGAAATTCTTTCTCGCAAAGTTGATTGACAATGGCCTGAAGATATGAAAATTATTACGAGATCTCAGAGACAGAAAGTGCAGTTGCATAAGCATCGTTTCCTTTGTAAACCAAGCTAAAATCCTCCAATTCTGCATATTTTTACTAGCACAAAGCATGTGTCTTTTAGCAGTAACGACATTACATATACAGCAATACGCTTTGGTGTGACAATACACATGTAGAGTCTCTTTAAGAAATATTTAAGATAATATTTTAAAGCACCTTTAGTGAAACTTTTATTATATCAGACCTATGCCTACTGCCATTGCAGACTGCAACAACTCTTCCTTAGTTTAATTATTCCTTATTTTCCTTTGGAATCCTTTTATGGTGTTAGGAAGGACCCTTTTTAAGTTCTAGCTTTACCCGTATCTCACTGGAAAACAGCAGTAAATACAAAACTGTTGCATCCCTTCAGGAAAACAAAGAGATTCTAGTAGAGTAATGGTTAAAAAGCCAAAGTGACAATAGTGGGCCTCAAGCTACCGAATCTGAAATGAATGGAAAGAAAATAAATTGTAGGTTCCTCTGCCTGTGCTTCAAAACATGTTGCTCTTACAGCTTGGTTACAGTTGTAGGTTTGTTTTTTTTTTTTTTTCCTGTAACCAAAATTACATTATCTTATTTTTTGTAAACAATGTTTACATTAGCCTCTATAAATCATCATAAAAGTCATTTATCTGCTTTTGTACTTAAAAGTAACTTGTGGCACGGCATTGTCAGTAACAACAAGTCCCAAAAAATCATTCTCATCTATATTATCAGAAGTTCAACAGCTACTTAGAGAAACAAAGCAGGTCATTTAGAAGAAAGCCTTGCAAAACTCCACGATGGCAGCTCATATTCCCAAGTATCATTACCTGTGTCTGATAGGAGGATGGAAAACTAGATTTTTGCACCAGAGTTTTGTAATTGCACTTTGAAATGGCGATGAGTGTCTGAATCAATCAGACCTGAGTAATAGAAGTACCGTATTTTTTCTTGTTTTGCTTGCCAGCCATGGTATCTGATTCCCACATGTTAACCTTGACCATCAGTATACTGTGAAACAGGCCACTTACCACAGAATCACAGAATGTCAGGGATTGGAAGGGACCTCAAAGGATCATCTAGTCCAATCCCCCTGCCTGAGCAGGACCACCTAGATCAGATCACACAAGAACTCGTCCAGGCGGGTTTGGAACATCTCCAGAGAAGGAGGTGACCTGAGTGTCACGTCACTTCCAGCCTGTCAAGGCCCAGGAGGCAGAGTCTTGGTTTGTGCTTCGTTTGATGAGAAGTTCTGCCTTGTCCACAGCTCACCCGCAGGCTTGTTTCACGGTAAGCAACGGCTCTGTGCCTCAGTTGTTCTTTCTGTGAAATAAGCCCTACATTTTGTCTGGTCCTTCACTTCCCCACCCAGAAAAGCGTGTTACAAAATGTTAATACATGAAAAAAGGTCTGCTGCATCCATCTTAGGGACTATATAATGCGAATGAATGGGCTAGGGACTTTGCTGGCCAGCAAGGCAAGTGGCACGGTGCAGGTGGCATCCGCTCTCCAGCGCTGCCTGCCACCTGGCAGGGGAGCCACCCCCAGATTCCTTGAGGGACACAGTTCTCCATGTGCTTCCCTGCAGCCCTGTGCTCGCTGGCACAGGGTGCTGGCAGTTAAATAGCATGGATGTTTACAAGTCAGTGCTCAAACTCGAAGGCAAAAATAGCCTTAAGGTGCTGCCAGTTTTTTTTTTAACCGATATTGTTTGTGTCCGCAGTCAAGATGTGCCTATGTGCAAAGCGATTTTGAAAAGAGCCTGAAGTTACATCTTAACAATAATTTAGCTAATGTCCTTGGGTTTTACCTGAAAAATGACCCTCCCTCTTCAGAGATTACCATTCAGGTTGTGAAGTAATTGTGCACAACTAATGAATTTTTAAATAGAACTCTGTTTCTCTCCCATTTTAAGTCAGTATTCAATACTTTTATGAACTTCTTTCCCCTTCTTCAGTAGACACTTAAGAGCAGCGTTGCCTTTGCTCATCTAGATCTTCCTGAAACACCAGAATCCCTTAGTGATGCAGTCAGGGAGCATCTGAAGTCACAGCGGGGGGGTTCCCCTCACCCCACTCTGTGGATGGGCCACCACGGCAACCAGGGGGACCAGGCAGAGGAGCTGAAGGGTGCAGAGCCATGCCCAAGGGCAGGTGGTCCCAGCCGAGTGAGCAGCGTGCCGGCGCCTGGGTGAGTGGTGGGTGGGAGACCCCATGTCCCCTGCGGGGCTTTTTTTATCCTTAAACTCCCTGAAAACCACCATGCTGAAGGCCCTTTAGCCAGAAACGAGGTTTCCTCTTCCTGATGTTTATGAGGAAAAAGTGCCCCAGGTATTCAGAGGAAGTGTGCTAAAGCGGACTCTGGCAGGATATTTTTTTCGGTTTTTTTTTTCAACACTGCTGGAGGTCTTTTATTTTATATTTATCCCTAGCTGATTTTCTTTATCTTCTAGAAAATCCCAGCTGATGTCTGCCTTAGTTCTTGCCCTCAGCGGAGGTGCCGTGGCCTGGGCTGGGATGTCTTGACATCCCAGGGCACTGTGGTGCACGCCTGGCGCAAACTGGTTTTCAGTCTCTGAACTCACGAGCCCAACGTTTTGCTGAGCTGTTCCCCAAAAGTTTTGTGCTCTCAAATCTGCAGTCATAAAACAGTGGGAGCAGCACGAGGGGAAAAAAGAGACGTTGTAACATAAGTGGTTTTACTAGATGGATTATTGCTATATAAACTATTTTTTAGAAGTTCTTGAAGAAATAACATTCTTGCCTGTTTTACTAATCTATGTCAAAAGGTCTTTACAGTTGGGCTTGTTGTGTGAGGGAGGCCCCTGATTTTTCCAGAGGCCACTAGGTGCTGCTGCAATCCAAATAATAAAAAATAAATGGGCAAACACAATTTTGCCCACATTTCTGATCTGATTTACTTGGGGTTTTGTATATTTTTTTTAAATGAGTCACAGTTTTCATTATTTTCTAGTTTGCTCATGTTGGAGTATGCCAGAGTCAACCTGAGTCAACTACACGCTCTGCACTGAAATGGATCCAGAACCCAGGAGCAGCTCAGTACGTTGATGATAGATTGCCACTAGCGTACAGAATTCGGGAGCAGGTGAGTTGCTGTGGCAAGACTGTCAATTTACAGGGCTCCTTTCTGCGAGATATCACTTGCAAAGTTACAAGTAAGAGTAGCACTTGTGGTAGTTAGCAGAGCAGTCATAGAGGACTGACAGACTTTGTGCCTCAGGGAGTAAAACGATTGCTAGTTGTGCTAAGACATATTTTGCTGTTACTCGGTTATGATTTTGGATATTCAAAGTCCTGCTGTAGTTACTGCTGATTTCCAGCATCACTTTTCCCTTTTATTAGCTACTACAGCTGTTTGAAACACATTTATGTGCCAGAACATATTACGCTCGATCTCAGTCCAAAACCTGTGTGTAAAGCCCTGTAAAACCATTTAATTGAAATTTGCTGATCTGTTTCGAATGGAATGTCAGAAATTCTATATATTCAGGCAAAGGATTATTTTTTTGATCATTGGAAATTTAAAAACTTTTTCCATTTGAAACGTTTTTAAGGCTTGCTTAAAAATGAGATTTGGGACAATTTTGGAAACAAGCAAAATACAATATTTTAAAATCATGAGTATTTAAAATGTTACAATTTCATAGGCGTGTTTTCATGTCCTTATTAAGCACACACAGAGCTTTGCTTCACCCACCCACTTGGTGCACAGGATATCTTCATCTTCTATAAGCATAGCAATTTGAGTTCATCTGAAAGATTTTGCTGTAATGAAGAGCAGAAGTGGGCTAGGAAGGAATATTTGAAAAGGCAGCTTACGACTAGCGAAAAGGAGAGGATTATCCTGTAACTTGAGTAGACATTTTATGCTGGTATTACGTATACCTTCCTGTGGAGCACCTGGCCTTAGCCATTGTCTGAAAAGCAGAACCAGGTTGGATGGACCTTTTATGAACACCAGTATGACTGCTCGCCTGGTGTTTTATGCCTTGTGTTTACCAGCCCTTCACTGGTAAAACGAGTTGGTGGAATTCCTATCTGTCCTAAATCAAGAATTAAAATGAGGTCAGCGATGAGAGTACAAAGGTGCATTAAAGGCTAAAATGGGATGTCGCAGGAACAGTCTGAGGAAGTTTGTTTATGTGACATTTTTTAAAGTGCCGATGGAGTGTTGGGAGCTCACTGCGTGTGAAGCTGGATCACAGAATCATAGAATGGTTTGGGCTGGAAGGGTCCTCAAAGATCATCTAGTTCCAAGCCCCCTGCCATGGGCAGGGACACCCTCCACTACACCAGGTTGCCCAAAGCCTCATCTAGCCTGGCCTTGAACACTTCCAGGGATGTCTCTAATCTCTTTGTATGAGGGAACTCACTGGCTCTGAGGTGAATTAATCTTCTCAGAAATATAGTACTGTTTAAGCTTATGTTACTTCTGATTTCTTACTTCATGATAGGCCGATAATTATTCTGTAATTGATTCTTTTTAACCATTAGTTAATATGGGGAATGAAATACCAGAGAAACTGTCTGGTGTGCCAAACACCCTGAGATGATCATGGAGCTGACTCCATGCAGGCACGTTTTGTGTTTGATGCTGCTTCTTGCTGGATCGAGCCTCCAGGTGCGTTTATCTTCGGAAGTGATTCAGATTCACTTACTCTTGAAACACATTTTTTACATTGTGTTACATTAGAGCTTGCTGTTCTGTTTGGAGGTGAATATCACAGTTGGAAGATGAAAAATGAAAAACATAAAATTCCCAACACGAAGTAGGAAAATAATGCCTGGGGAAGAACAGAGGCAATCTAATAGTCCAGAAGAGTTTTCTGTGTTTCAATTCTTAGCTATTTTAATGATATTGCAATGATATATAATAAAGTTAAAAAAACATATGTTACAGTACTTTTAAAATGTTTCTTTTGCAGTTGTCCTTTTTTTCTTCTAAAACTCTGGTTTCATTTTAGAGGCTGGATGAACATCATGCTAAAGAATGAGATTATAAATTAGTTATGCAATTAATACCTCCTTCACTTCCCCTGCAACAAGCAGTGTACATGACACTCAGTACATAAATCATAGATTAATTCAGTTTTGAGGTCCCTTTTGTAGTTCATTTTAATTAGCTTTAGGCTTACTAGTGAATCAAACAAGGCAATCCTGACATATATCTAGTATTTTGCTGCTTGCAGACAGAATATATCATTTCTTATTTGAAAATTCACACTTTTCTATTAATCATGTATATATACAGCAAGTCAGGGGAACGCAAATCCTCCTGATGATTTTGTAAAAATAAAATAAAATACAGAGAGTCCACATTGCCCCTATAAAATTATGTGCAGTTGAAGATTTAACATGTGAACATGACTTCTATGTTATAACATAGGCAGCTGTAATTTCAGCATCTGTCAGAATATTAGAACTGGGACTAGTAGACTTCAAATAAGTCTGAGAAAATGAGAAAATTAATTTTTTTTTCTATATATTTTTTTTTTTCAGAGAGCAGTGAACAACAATTTCCCATTTTCTTCTCATGACAACAGACACTGTCTACAGAATGTGGGAGAGTATTTTGATTCTGTAAGTACCCAGCACTAAGAAAAATCAAGCAAGTTCTTATCTCTCAGTCTGCTAGAGATTAAACACATTGTGTTTCCTCTCACCTGTAAAAATCATAGATTCCAAGAAGTCTGAGAAGACAAAAATGTAAACAGGAAAGAAAAGCACACTTTTTTTTTAGTATAGGGATAGGACTCTTCTGGGGCTGGCACAGGTATGTAGCAGCACAGATGGTAATTGAGGGTGGCAGAATTCAAGGGGAACAACCCCCTCAAGATTTGGGTCTCTGACAGGCATTTTCTAGTGGTCCTGGGGTTTTATGTCTTAATACGGTTTTGTACCCAGTTATATGTCCTGTTTGTCTGCTAAAAGTGATTGCTCTTGTGATGAACTTTTGTAGTGGTCTCAGACACTCCTAATTCACAGTCCCACATGTTTGGTTCAGGCTCATCTTTATCATGTTTAACCAAAATCCATAGGATACCCACAATATATCTCCAGAATATATTATTTTGCAATCCACATCTCTTTATAATGTATCTGTTTAAATGTATGTTGCAGAAGCCACGACTTTGAATAGAATTTAAATTGGTTTGTGCTTTTTTTGTATGTGCAACAGTTTTGTGGTTTTCCACTTGTCTTAGATTGTTGATGTCTTTCTAGGCAGGAAAAGAAATAGCGCAGTTCTCAAGATAACGAGTAGACGAGGAAGCAGCGAATTGTGATATTGGAAGCTTGCTGACTTTGGACTCTCTTAGACCTAGATTTTTCAGTATTCATTATTCACTGAGTAACCTCCATTTCTGTGCACTTTGTCCAGTGTCTCATAGTTTTAGAGATACTGATCAACCATAATTCCAAATAAATTTCCTGCAAGCTATGGAGTGTGAAAATCAGGCTCCGTCTCTCTGTGTTTGGACACACAAGGGAGAGTTTTGAAGATTTAGATTTCATGGTCTGTCTCAGTTTCTTTATTGCAGTCTGAACATAAAATTATTAACCTGTTTCTTTGGGTTACTCTTCAGATTAATTCAGTCGAGTATAGCTTAATAGCCTTGAGTATATAGGCTGCTACAGAAATGCAAAGTATAAGTGGTTTATTAGTACTGAGGGGTGGAAGGTCAACAGATTTCCCGTTGTATGTGCAACCGAAAATGTTCATACAGGCAAGTCTGACAATATTATTTTTCACTTGCTAAAGATCAGCCATGAGTTCTTGAAATCACTGTGGTAACAGCTTCGTTAACCTACCAGTGGAGCAGTGACTGTTAGAAGATTCACCTGTGAAACTGTGATTGTGAGTCGGATGTTTGTGTGAATTTTGCTTTCAATTTTTTTTCTAGGGTATGGGTCGAAGGAAGGTGAAACCAGAGAGTCGACAACAGAACTCACAGAACTTCCTTCAATGGGCTCATGAATCAGTTCCTAGCGGCGAGGATGGCTTAACCATTTATCAGACATCATTTGTGAAAGATCAAAATACTGAGAGCCCATTTTGTAGGCGGTATCCGAAACACCACTCAGAAAAATGGTGCACTGACAAACCCGTTCCTGAGGAAAAGAAACACAGCCAAACAAGTCATCTTCATTATAAAAGCACCTTTGTAGCTCTGCCTTATCATCAGAGCCTTTTCTCGAGATCTGAACTACTCGTTACTCAAATGGATGATGAAATAATGGATGATGAAATAAACATTCATGCGCAGTGAATGTGGCAGTACAGTTGAGAGTTCATTGAAATCAACAATCATGTTACTCTGAAGACTTATATTGCTATAATATAACTATATTACTATAAACATTTTAGTGAAGAAGAGCATTATGAAGAAAAGCATTTTTGTACATATTTTTAGAAAGACATCTCTTAGGAGAACAGAGGTAGTCATTGTACTTCTGTTATTTGATACTGGTTGACCCTCATCTTGATACAAAAGCTCCTTCAGCTTCAGAATCAGTGGGATGCTTGTACCTGAAGCAGCTGACAGCATCTGTGTTGAAAGAAATATGTAATGGAGCTGGATCCTTGAGGGTTTACCACAACAGGGAGCCCAAACTGCCCGTTCAGGTAAGTGATAAACTTTTCTGAAAGGTTTCATGAATATGAAGGCAGGTTACTAGCCCTTAGAGAAACTAGATAAAAAAGAAGCTGCACGTTGGATTGCTGCGCACAATAACTTTAAGTTTGGTTGTGACACAGCAGTTGTATAAGTGAAGAAAGAAAGGATGTTGTAAACAATCCAGTCTTTCCACCCAAAACAATACGTTTGCATGCCTGCGTGTGCCCTCACAAAATGGGAATGTGTGTGTGTGCATCGTTCGTGGCAGTGAGGGGTAAAAGACCTCAGGCTGAAACTGGAAGGCTGCATGAAGGCTCGAGTGTGAGGAGGGCTGGATCTGAAATCTCCTGAATCTCCAAATAATGTGTTTGCCTCTTCTGGATCATTCCCATTGATATCAATAAAATAATAAACCAAACTGTGAGTCATAAAATAGACTAGAAATAAGCTCGTTGTTATGCAAAATAATGTTGACTAAAAAAAAAAACCCTCTTAAGCATAAGTTTATGGAATAATTTCCTTTGCTTACAAGATAAATGGAAAAATAAACCCTCAACCCTTAGAATTCCCTGCGTTGTGGGAGATGCCTTGAAAATGAGCTGTGTTAAGAAATGATTCCTGCCTTTCAGTGAACAGATACATCTTTTTGTGTCAGCAAGCAATGGATGACCTTTTTGTGGGCCATCGAAATAGATTGTATTAGAATATTTCCCCAAACGTGTAGCAATTTTATTAGCACATGCTGAAATAATAAACTTTATTTTTTTATGAAGTTCCCCCTACTAAAGTTCTCGGGGTGCTGCTCAATGTGTAGAAATGCAAAACATTAATGAACAATGTAAAACCAGATAAAAAGCCAAGTAACATAGCGTTGTTAAAAAGAATTATTTTTTCTCAAAGTAAAGACAGCCTGCCTGACAACTCTGGAGTCAGAATTTCCAGAGCTTTAGCCAACAGTTTCATCTCCAAACTGATTGAAAACTGAAGTGTGTGCATGGTAAATAAAGTGCCCCATGCTGTTTGGCATACTCAAGAGGGCAATCTTGGGCCTCCATCAGAAGGAAGAAACACATTCTTGCTCCGTTAGTAATGTTTATCTGTGGTTTAGCGTTACAACTGGATGGGGTGAAATAAATTGCTGTCGTTTGTTATGCCTTAAAACACCAACAGAAAGACTCGGAGATTTCTTTTTTCTTTTTCTTTCGCATTTTGACTCAAACATGATTTTGTTTTTTAAAACTAATTGTGGATTAGTATATGCTCTTGATGATACTGTGATAAAGATTCCAGAGGAGAAACTGGAGAGCTCATGAAACCTCTGTACAAACTGAAATACACTGTTCTGGGTCGAACAAAACAGGTGATTCCCACATATCTCATGCTCTGGCTGGGGTGCTTGGGTAAATAACATGAGATACAACACACTGAATTTTGAGATGAATTATAAACGCCCCAGATAAATTCCAGAAAGTCATAGCCTTGTGTACGTTGGATAGAAACCATCAGGTTTGTTTAATCTTGTGATAATAATGTCTCTGAAATGAAGGCCCTATTGAGTGAAAATATTTTTGCAATATAGGGTTTTGTTCCTTCTTGGGAGGTGGAGGAGAGGGGAGCAGGGCTGGTAACTAAAGGTTTCCTGGTTGGTGCAGGAAAGTGCTCCCAGCTGGCAGTTAATTAGGATCAGATGGGTGTAGGTAGGCTCAGCAGAACGAACACACTATGGGTTAACTCAGCCAAATACTACTCTGGAGAAGTAGAGGGTATGCTTTAAATGTGCTGACAAAGATGAGCTTTTTTGTACCTAGTTTTATTTAAAAAAAAAAAAGAAACAACAAACAAACCACAAAAACCTAGTGAGTTTGTTGCAAAATTTCCTTGAACGGTATTGTCAACAATTTGAGCACGGCCAAAACCTTGTTACAGAAACAGCAGGCTTCATACTATAATCCTTTGGAATAAGCAGCTATTGTTGCCCTCTGGTTTCTTCTCCCGAGCCCACAACAATTTAGACACTGTCATACAGCTTTCTTAAGAGTCTCTTTCGTGTTAATTCAAAAGTGTCCTCAGTACGTTAGCTAAATTCACAGAACTCAAGCAAAATCGATTACAAAAATTAACCAAGGAGATGGGCAGATGGCTGCAAGTTCCTTGGTTTGATGAGTTGATGCTCCTCAGCTGAACCTGGCAACAGGCTGAGGGTGGTGACTGGGTGGCTGAGCTGAAGAGCAGCAACTTTGTCACTTTGCTTTCCATGCCTTGGTTGAAGGTAGCTTGCTTCTCAGGGTGCATCAGTTCAGCTGTGCTGGAATACCCTCTTACGCTTGTATCCGTGTGGTTGTATCCGCTTGGTGAAAATATGTTTGATTTGGTTTCTTTTTTCTGCCCCAGGTGCTAGTAACTAGATCTGAGAAGATGGTCTCGCTCCAAGCTGCTGTCTCGTGGACCATGTGGCACCCTGGTAAGCTAGATGTCAGCTTTCCTTTTATGGCTGTTTCGTTTATGAAATGTTGTGACCTATGAAATGCATTTAATAGTCATTTTGACCCTGCTAGACAGACTATTGATGTTTTATGGTAGCAGATTGGTTTTGGTGCAGTAGGAGGCAAGATTTAAATTTTGCCTTTTGCTTACTTGGTGTCTAAAGCAGCTTGAAGAAATGCTTAAAGCCTGAACCGCCGGGCCTGTGGGGAGGGCTGGGTGGAAGGAGAAGTGCTGCTGCTCATGGAGCCAGTAATTCAACGGGGATGCAGCAGCTTGACTTCCAAGTCATCTGCTGCTAATCTAATCACTCTGTGTTCGTAATCGAATCACTCCGTGTAACTGAAACGTTTTTTCTGAGCACGTACGCTCAAGGTTAGTCTGAGTGAAGTAACTTGATAGAGATGTTGTGTCGAAGATGAGCCCTTTTTCTTCCCTGGGCTATACAGTTATGCAGTGGCACTACTGGGGGAGACCTGTCTAAACCCAAACCTGGTGCTGATTTATTATCACTTTATTATACAAGTTCAACTGTGAATAATACTAAGCTTCTATAAATGTTCTTATACTGGTTTAACTTTTCCCTTCCTGAGCAAAATGTTGCTATAACTGCAATGGTACTGACATAAAACTGAATGTATAGACTCGTATCGAATAGAAATGTTTATGTTGATACAGTGGCTGTGCTGGTTGACAAGAAATTAAATTACTGAAATTAAGTAGGAACTGTGGATTAGGCACCTCTGTCTTTAACATGGAATCCACAAGCTTTTTTTTATTATTCCTTAATCTCCTTCCTGCTGCTGCATTATCTAATGAGCAGTAGGTAGCAAGTAGAGACCCATTCCACTCTGGAGTGGGAAAAGGCTATACAGAGCTGTCTCATCCCAAATTTCTTATTTTCTGCCTGCCTCCCCAACAAAGTAATAAAATAAGAAGCATTATCTCTGGAATATCTAATTAAAGGGAAGCCTATTCAACAGGGAAGTAATCCTAACTGACCTTAATTTGGATGTACAGCAGTAGTGGGTGTGAGTGAACCACTAAAGCACCCAGTTTATGATTGAGGCAGGCAGCTGCGTAGCATTTATGAAAAGCACATTATCAGCTTGCTCTCTTGTCTGACCACTGTTTGTTATACCTCAGTACATTCACCTGAAAGTGAAATGTCTCAAATCATAATTTCTGAAGTGTGGTGTACAGAAAGAAAGTTTGGAATAGATTAGTTGGCTCTTCCACCAGCTGTGTCATAAGAACAGCTCTCAGCCTGCTCATGGGAAGTGATTCTCAAAACCTTAATCTCTCCTGAAGCCAATGGGTTGAAGTCATCTTTTTGGGCATTCTGTAAAACAGGGTTAAAAAAAACCCCACCAAACAACAACAACAAAAACCTGAGTGAGCTTGCATTTTCTCTTTTTTTCTGAGGTTATGCAGCCAATTCTGCATGTAGCAAAAGTGGAAACTATGTAGAATTTACAGAGACCATATATATTTGATTGCCTGTTAATCTGATGGCAGATGCCAGAGACACCCAAATCCCAGAAGTGTTCCATGGGTGCTTAAAATGCTACTTCTGGACAAGTCTAAAGTGCCTTTGTCTTGACAGCACAAAGTTCAAACTTGTATCAGGGAAAAGATCCACAAATTAATTATTCTCATGTCACCACCATGCTTTAAATTGGGAGAATGCTCAGACACATCAAGTTCTTCAGAGGAGGGTACATGAAGAGCAGCTATTATCATCTCTGTATGTAAGAGCTTGATTGTTACAACACCCATTTGAAATAGGTTTGGTTCTTTCCTCTGTTCTTGCATTGTTTCAGGAAGAGGGTTATGGCTTATTACACAATGGTACAAGTTTTCTTTGCTTCCCTCTTCCGGAAGCTGTCTCATGTGCATGGAATATTTAGATGTTCATTAAATCAGCACGAGAAAGTTCACATGTACACATGAGTGAGCATGATGATCTCGCCCAGGGATTAGGACACCCACCAGGGAGAGGGGGTTGCCTGGGTCGGGGTCTCTGTATGGCTTTTAAATTTGAAGCAAACATTAATTGAAGTAAGGACTGGAGCTCAGGTCTGCCTGCTCACAGATGAGTGCCCAGACCACTGAACTAGAGAAAACCCTGGGCTTGCTCTCAAGCCCAATGTTTAACCATTTCCTGCAAA